GAAGGCCAAAACAAAAGGTTATTGTAAAGGAGAAAACATTTTCGATACTTCAGGGCTTCATTTTCGCTCCCTTGAATATGTCATAGACCACAAAAACCGGAAGTATATCTATGTCTTCCGAAAGCAATTCCTGTATCACTCAATTATCATGTCGTAACAATAAAATCATGCTAGTGACGGACATCCTAAGGCACATACAATATGCCTGCAATGATTCCACACACTCAATTCCATTATTTCTTTTTGATCCATTTCACCTGTACTGTCCGAATATTTGACAATCTGATTATTACAGTAAAACCCCATCAATATTCAACTTTGGCCTACCGTAATCTTTTATAATGAACTTTTTGTGACGCTCAATATGAATACCTAATATACAAACGCAGACAGTCGTGTTACTTTAACATAACAACTTGTCATCAAAAGAATTTACCAATCGCTTGATAGCAACCCATATGTTTACCATTGTGTACGCCTTGTTGTCTAACGAGTTTATAAAAGATAATTTCATGTTGGAGAATATGGATTTAAATGTATTCAAACATTAAATTCATAGGGAGTGAGTCATTCTAATATTTACCTATGAGAGTGTGTTCATTCAGAGGCTTGACGTATGCTCATAGCTTCAATAGATTGTTTGTGGTCACGATATATTTTTTGTATTACATACGAATTTATTGATGACATTTGACGGGAATAAAGTTTGTAAAGCAATGAACAATTATGCATAGTTAGGGAGACAATCTACTTAGTACGCTTCAGTCCTTTTGCTGAAGTTGTTTTTAATTACATTGATATAACATTTCTATGCACATAATACATGCGTTCACATACAGGATTATGTTAGCATAATTCAGTTAAAGAACATCAGCGGTCATAAATCAAATGATGGTTTGTACAAAGATCCGTCTACACTTTATTTGAGGGCATTTATTTTCCTATTATTCAAATAACTTTGAGACTGTCTCTATCACTTAAATGTTCGTGCATTAAAAACATATGTATTTTTGGACAAACCATCATCATATTCAAGTAATCAGTTGAATTATATTTAATTTACTTATTTTGTTCAATTTTATGCTCATTTTATAGATCTCAGGTTTTCATTTTGTATCACGGCTTTTAAGCTTCTCAGTAGACGTTAATTTCAGTTGCCATATGGATAAGTCGAATATACATTTTAATGTCCTGATGAAAGAGGAAATTTTCGCGGTGTGGTCATGTTTGTGTTTTTCGCGTTGAGTGAATTAGCGCGAACATTATCCACTCGCTGATTTATATTTTATATAAATTATGGACATATACGATATTTCGATTTCTAAACCATTGCGAATGCCAAACATTTCCAAACCATGAATTGTCTATAGACAGCGCTCGCATTTAGGACAAATTCTGAGTCGCCGTTTGCTTTTGCTATGATCCTTACCAAGAATTTATGTCGCCAAATTGTTTCAGGTGTATTATTAGCTGAATGCTAGTTCAAAAGAATAACAAAGAAGAACGGTATTTTTTTTTTATTTAATCTTACCCATCAGCTATAATATTTGGGTCATTTAATTATCTATCAGAGTTATAACTCGAAAATCTTCCGCCGTCATGTCAAAGAGCTCTTTCATTAGCTCAGCGTTAACCTTTATCACTTTAGCACGATTGTCTAAATGTTAAAAAACGTGCGAAAATTTGAGAAATAATGAAGACGTACTTCCTGGTTTTGAATGTGGTACTAATATTGTATTCTCAGAGGCAAATGGATTTGGAAATGAAAAAAGGACGTGAGTATTTTTCAGTGCATCGGCACTATTGATGTTGTGAACCTAACCAACATAAAGAAATTTTAACTGGTTATGTCTGTGACACATTGATCTGGTATGGATTTCCCTTATTTGAAAGTTCATCTATAGACCAGGAAGTGAAATTGCGCTTTAAATAGATTTGGTCAGGATCACGTTCAGCAACACGCGTCCTCACCTTACGGTTTGATTGTTGTTGATTGTTCCGTACTTAAGCCACCTACCATTTATATACATACTTAGCCAAATAAAATGCGCAGGGATAAAAGTTGCCGTATTGAATTGCACAGGTACGTTTAATGTGTACTGTTCTGTTCTTAAACCACATATCACGTCTTTATATAAAACCGGGAAATGCTTGTACAGGGGTGAAAAGCGTATCTCGTACACAATTATAAAATGAATACTGAATTTGCACAGATATGGTGACATATAAACGGGCTGGCCGGTGCAGTCGAACTTTGTTTTTGTAGGAAAACCGCATGGAAGAAGCATGTTTCCAACGCTTGATATTCCCGTATTGATGAACGTTAAAGAGATCAACATTTTGTTTCCGTTGTTATTAAAGATATCTTAAATCCCACGCTAACACACATCAAAGAAGACAAGCAATTTATATTGTTCTCAAATGTAGGTTGTACCACAGTAAGTAGTGGCTCAACCACCCATTAGTCATTTGATAATATATGACCATATACCATTGGCACCATTGCCAATCGTCTGCTCAGTGGTCGTCGGAATTAGACAACGCGACATCAGAATCGCATTTATGCTGCTGTGGCAAAATATTAGGATTGTTTGCCGCTAGTATTTCTATTGATAAGTCCTTTTTGAAAAGAAAAGTTTACCTTGTGGTACTTTTATGAAAAAGTTATAAAGATGAAATAATTGATAAATAGAGTGTTTTTAGTGTAAAGGTTCAGTGGATCTAGACCAGAGTTTGAACCCTGGACCTCGGATTGACTGTTTACTACCGCTCTTACTATGATTGAGCTTCCTTGTCAACAGAAGTGTTTTTTGCCCAACTGTGCTACGGTTATATAAAAAAAATAAGGGGAGGTTACTGTATATACGCACAACCAGAATGTAGTGGGACATGGATCCTCAATAAGTACAGTATATCACAGAGTGCAATTATAACAAGTCGAAATAGCATATTGGTAATCATTGTCAAGTAGCATTAACTCATTCACCCCTGAAGACACATTTAAACTCTACCAATTCAAAGATTCGAATAATGGTAAAAATAATAACATTTCTTCCTTCCCCACACTGGTCGTTCAAATTCAAGCAAAATTGAACTTACTTTTAAAATATCACTATTTATTAAAATATTAAATAAATAATATTAAATTTCCAATTTATCTACTATGTCGTTAATCTATCTGTAAACGTTCCATAATATGACCGATATATACCCTACCTATGTCAGGGAGCGGTTTAAACCTGCTATCACCCATACCCATCATATGCGTATACCTGTGTATGGTACACCTATGTTCACGGGTGACTGGTATATCACGATGACATTGTCAGCGGTTAAGACATACGGTGTCGGCTGTCGCCAATTACCATACACACAAGACATTTTATCAGAAGTGTGTACAGATTGCGTTGATGTTAAAACTAGTGCGTCTGTACCGCAGCCGTATCTTCGTATTATTTTACCCGTCGTCCAATAAATGGTCACAGAACAGAATTTTTCGAATGAGGAAGTAGGTCTAAGGGTCTGAGCAACACACCAATAACAATATACCCTGAAATCACGTGATGTGAACATCTGAGCATATTACATGTAGAAATATATATATATTCATTGTGTATTTCACTGTATTTTCATGTTCGATAAAGGAGCGGATCAACCTGAAAATTTGAGAAATTACTTTGTCTTCACTGTCGTTATTACTTTTTGCCCATATCTCTATTTAAGTTGTTCGGATTCAATGCCAATTGGATACTACTGTCGTTATTACTAATTAGACCATTATATATTATATCATATATATGTTTTTGTTCATATGTTTTGAATTGATTGAATTAAAAAAAAGAATTTTTTATACAAATCGTATACGTCTTTGTTCATATTTACCTAGGTTACAATACTTAGGGTTAATGGATTTTGTATTTACTAAAAAAACTACAAGTCCTCATTTTCTTCACGTTGATCGAAATCTGTAACGTGTTTCTGATATATTCGGAATGGCATTAATGGAAAGATTAAACGTAAGAAAAAATATATTGCTTAATATAAATGCTTAGAATAGAAACGCGGCTACTGAAAAAAGTTAAAACTAGGGGACTGCTCGATTCAGATAGCCCGCCGGTGCACTGTTGTTTCGAGTGCCCCGTTAGCGCAAATCGAGTATTGTAATGCCTCTTGTGGCTGAACGTCACTTTATCTATTTGCATATATTCAGGCAATTAGAGCTGTTGTCTACATTTTGAAGTTAAGAAACGAAACTATTGTAGTTTTAATTATGTTGAATAGACAAGTCGCTTTACGAATTTAATTGCTTTTTTAAATTTCAGTAACAAGTATGTTTATTCGTGAAATTTAAATCTCGTGTTTAACCGAAGTATAACAGAAGTGAAACATACCTTTAAATGTTAAACTTTATACACGAGCAATGTACTCATATACCAGTCTCAAATGGTCAAGGTCGATTGGTCTCATTCTTAAGCAGCGACTGAATGAGCGTTATGCATTGTTTACCTGTCGTCCGATTTGAAGTCAATGTAAATGTTATTGCATACGGGTCAGTTCGTCTATTTATGAAGCATGTTACATAAACACTGGGTTAAACTTAAACAGGTTACTAGGGTGTAGACCTAGACCCCTCTCCCGTTTTTGATGAAAACACAACTCGACACAATGGTGTCGTAAAATGAGGCCGCAATTATTTCACGTACAGTCAGCCATGCATTACAGATCCGTCGTGTGACAACATGTGTGTATAATATACAATACACAGAGCCTCACTCCTTCACATACATTTGGGTTTAAATAGGAAAGAACCTGTGTCTGTTTAAATTTCTGATCACAGTGGACCAGACTCTAAGTTAGTGGCAACATTGACATTTTCCTTTTGCTATCCCTACAGGTTTGAAAACGAGAAAAGTGTTTATAAATCGTTTCAACGAAAAATAGTCTCAATAAAAACAACTGACACAATCAGTTAAAAGTATACATAAGACAAAAACACTTACCCAGTCCAAGCTTCTGTCGTCTCTAAGAGGGCAAAAAGGACAAGTAAAGACCCTAAACAGATCAAAACTCGAGGCGCCGAAATCGCCATTCTGTTAAGGCACTGCAGCTTGCATATTATGCCAACAAGGAAGTTAAATTGAACCTAAATACCGAACCTGTCACGTGACATGATCTAAATTTGTATTTTACGTATTAGTTTGTACACATATATGTGCATCATTTTAGAAATATAATTCGATACCTGGGTAGGTAGTGATCCAGGTCTACTCTCGTTTCCACGAAAGGCGTCATTCGAACAGAATGGATTGTTCGCATCACTGCTGCTTACACATCAGAATGAGAGAAAGTCGCATGTCCATCAATAATAATGATACAGACAACATTAAAGAAGAAATGAGAATCAGCTATGTTTATATGTTAAAGCTTGCATAACTCGTTTGTAGAAACAGAAAGCTTTTCTTCTAACGGAGAGAAAAATGATGTATGTTAAAGCTTTATGAGACTCCATGCATTTAAGCACGGTACTTAATCCGTCTGACAACTCCCACTTGTACATTGATATTACTTGGAATACAGACATAATGCAGCATTTTGTAATACAAGTAAAAACCAGGCGTAAAAACATGTATGGTATGAAATATGACAGGACGTACATGCGTAATTTCCAGGTAAATAATTTCAAGTTGAATCGTAAGAAAAGTGCCGGGATTAATAAAATACAGATAAGTAAAACCTGTTTTAAATATGCTGAAATAGATTTGTCATTTATCCAACAGAAATTGCATAGTCACGACAACTTATATTCCATCGTGATTACATTTAAAACGTTTTCAAAGATATACAGCAAGATTTCCCTATATATCGTAGTTTTCGTACTTCCTGGAGCCATCTTTAATTCTCATCGACAAAACCAGTGAGAAAATAAGGCTTGAAACCATTGCAAAACCCGACATAATAATAATAATACTAAAAGTTTATTAGAGTGTCACATTCTGATCAACATTTACAGACATACAAACATTAAGTGGAATTCGCGTACATTTGATCAATATCCAGCCAATTATCTCGACTTATGAGACACCTGAAAGACGTTCTATGTACATACACATGTTAAAAATCATTATTACTGAATAAAAAATACTAAAAAAACAACATATCGCATTAGAATCGTATTGCAACATTGCTAAAAAATATTACTGGAATTATTTCTATTCAAGACAAGTCATATAAAGTAATATTCATAAGATACATATATTACGTGTTAGAGCAGTACACAGCATAACGATATGACGTCAACTTGCGTGTGTTATTTTTACCGACATGTTCACACAGAACTGTTGTGATGTTCATGTAGTAAAGATACAAAATAAATAATGAAATATATAATACTCTACTGTGTTAAGCTAAACAATTCTGATGTATTCTGTAACCTAGAATATAGTTTTGTCTCTGGTGAAATAAATTCTTCGGTTTTTATCAATGCTTGATTGACAATAGTATATCAGTGTTTGACCATACAATATCCAGAATGTATATAAATAATCCTTCCTTCACACCTCAATATACCTGAGTTAAGTGTTTTTGTTTACACGTTATTGTTGGTGTTTAGTAAAAAGAATTGAAAAAAATTCGTAATTCGTACTATGGTTAAATAGAACAAAGGAAAGATTTACTTAGAGATAATTGACAAAATACAGGTAGGATAAGAAAAGGTGTTCCAGCAGGGAAAGCATCTTCTGCTTCGCTACCTAATAATAATCCCTCTCCTGAGTAGTTTTGCATCATTCTAAAATGGGACGCAACTAATATCTGACGACTAACATCTAATTTAAATACGGAAAGTTATTAATAAAACTTGGGAAAAATTGCGTTCTCCTCCAATTACCAATTACTGTTACAAGAATGCATTGGCTTATTGAATAGCATAGACTAACTTTTATACGAACCTATTATGAAATCGAGGCGACAAGTGCAGAATCCGAACCAGAAACATTCTGGAGTAGAACCCGGGAGTGCATCCCGACATAGGAACCTCTTCGACCGCGCCCTTGCTAAGCATGGTCCTTACTTCCTCCTGGAGCGCCAGAGCCTTTTCCGGATCCCCCGGTGTAGGAAAAAAGATTGGCTCCAAAGCTAAGAGCGGATCCCGCACTAGCGAAATGCTTTACCCTTCCTTGATCACAGGCAAGGCCCATGCGTCTTCCGTAATTTCCTTCCACTCTGGAAGGAAAGCAGAAAGACGACCCCCCACAGGAAGATCTGGTCGAGGCAGATCGAGACCTCGCCAGGCAAGAGAACCGTCTGCTGACGCGAAGCCTAATCCTGCGGGAGAAGGACCTAAGCTTGAGCCGAGAGGACTGCAGTCCTCCCGGCCAAACTCGTCGTCTAACACGACCAAGGACGGGAGAAGACAGTCAGAAACCCTTCTTCTTACCCCCAGGAGGGTTCTTACCCTTCCATCTGTTGCCCTTGAAGGGAGGCTTATACTTGGGCTGCACAGAGGACTGCGAAGCCGATGGTTTAGCCTTCTTCTTAGGAGGCGCTGACCCCTGCGAGGTACTGGCCTTCTCAGCCTGAATCCTTTTCACCAGAAGTGCATAGGCGACCGAATCAAATCCTTCTGAATAGAAGGAAGGGCCCCTCCAAAAAGAGTGGACCCTGAGAAGGGGGCAGTCAACAATCTGGAGTGGTAAGGCTCATCGACCGGGCGGTTTTTCAAAACTGAAAACCGCCTAGCCAACAAGACATTGACAAGCGATGACACCCGTAAAGCTGCCAGCGCTCTCAATGCCCCGTTCAGGGCAGAGGTCACTCCAGAATCTGGATGGAGAGACGCAGCAGTCTCTCCATCTTGTGATGTTCTTTGGGACGGAACACCACCTGGTCCACCGATTTACCGGGCCAGGCTGCAAGTTCCCTCAATTCCAGCTTAGCTGGTTGAGGGGCAAGCAGGCCAGTATGTGTGGCATAGTCAGTGGCGTGCACTTCTGACAAATCCCCAACACTGAGCTGCAACCCAGCATACCCAGGACTACGGGTTGAAGAAGAATTCTTCTCTAAAACCCGAGACTGGGCGGTGTCCAGAGCTGAAGACACAAAAGTGACTTCTGGCAGAGAGCGGTCCGACCGCCCGAGGAGCCACAAAAGAATCCAAAAGGGTGGTGGACTCGGGGACAGATGACGCCGAAGGTGGTGGGCAAACCTCCTTCCCAAGGATCCGGGAAACGTCGGCCCTAAGGCCCCGCATACCGGACACCACATGCTGGGCCTCAACCTCAGCAGCCCGAGGAGAATGAAACTCAGGACCGGACCTAATAGGACCGGGTCCGGGTTACTGACCGGGAGGGTAAGCCTGACCAGCATTGGTGCCGGGATTAGTGAGCTGTGCGTCACTAATCCCGGTAGACACAGACAATCCCGAAAGAAAGTCTGTAGTCACATCAGGACCTGAACCCGAAAGAACAGGCCCGGCACCAAGACTGTCCCCAACGACAGCACCACCTGGAATGCCGGGATCACTGACAGAGTCAGTGCCCGGCGGCCGGTAGTCCCTACCCGAAGGCAAGCGCGAAAGCTTACGGGCGTCCCCGGCCAATTCGACCCTGGGCCGTGCCAAGCCAGGGTCGGGCTGCCCCTCCCCTACTCCAGGGAGTTCCTGGACAGGAAGGGCCACCCCCTGCTCACGAGAGGGACTCGCCGAAGCGAGACCCCCCGAGACAGGAACAGAGACAGTACCACCAGACCCCAGAGAGCTGGTGGCACGACCCCTACCTCGCTGCTTCCCTCGCTTACTTGAAGAAACAGACGAATCTCTCTTACGGTAAGTTGAGGGTAGCTTTGGAACAATGAAGTCCTTGTCCTGAGATTTAGTCTGTGAACAAAGTTCACAAGGCGAAACCTCACTGCAAGGACGACACCTGGGACAAGCATCATGAGGGTCCCGTTCCACAAAGCAATGGGAACACCAATGAGCTCTACCTCGTCGCTGTCCCGATCGAGACATACCCTCCAAAGCGAAAGTAAACAAAAAATTACAAGCAGATAAACACGGGAAAAATAATAAAATATGATAGTACAAAGTACGCAATGTAGAAAGAATTGCACCCGTAATATAAATCAGAAAACGGTTGAAATAAATAATAATAAATAAACAAACAACCGTCACCGAAATAAACAGAGGTCGGAAATTAACCCACGATAATGGCGGACCGTGGCACCACCGGCACACGTGGAGTAAAATAACCGGCCGTAAAAGGCACAAAAATAATTTTCAACAATAATTAATTGTATTTACAAGGGCAGATGGGTATAAGGCACACAAACTACGCAATAAATTGAGTTGACACTCGGACCAAACCGACAAAACAATGTTTTGAAATGGAGAAAGCTCCGGGCGTGTGCAGGCGCCATAAAAGGAAGAGGAAGGGAGATCACTCCGTGGCTCTGTCGTCGAGATATGGGTAACGTCACGGTAGGGAGGTGGGGATATTTGAATCTTTTGTTTTTGGGCTACAAAGATGGGTGTAGGTATTGTAAATGCATACTAAAGTTATGGTAATTATTACTGAAATGAAAACTGGTTTTCACATGCTATTCTTCTTCGTATTATTTTTCTTCTGCCAAATAATTTCCTGAGATTTTCTCAGAACCAACCGGCCGGATATTTATGTGCTTGCTCAGGAACATGTGCAGATGTGCTTATCGCGTTTCATTTTCTGATCAGTCATCAACCATGGCCGCCATGACCTCTGATTGATTGACAGATTCATCGTTTATTGGTTAACGCCAAAGTCCCCATTACAATTAAAGCGTGTTACCGTGGGAATTTGTCAGTCCGGAAACCTTAGTTTTTGAGTACAGTGAGACATTGTTAGTCTAAGTTCTATTTTTTGTGCATAGGGTAGTTAGTCTGAACATGTTGTTTGTGTGTAGGGTGAAAAGTTGTAAAGTCTAAACACTTTGGTTTGTGCGTTGAGTGAGAGTTGTAAAGTCTAAACACTTTGGTTTGTGTGTTGAGTAAGAGTTGTAAAGTCTAAACACTTTGGTTTGTGTGTTGCGTGAGAGTTGTAAAGTCTGAACACTTTGGTTTGTGTGTTGAGTGAGAGTTGTAAAGTCTGAACACTTTGGGTTGTGTGT